AGAGGTGGCATCCTTTTAAAGAGGTTATGGAGATGTTCACAGTTGTGACTGGGCAAAGTAATGGCAGGATTTGGGTAAAAAGTGCAACTTTATGTTTTTCTAGAGCACGTGTTGAGTGTTTAGCTGTTAGTGAGGAACAGCTGTTGTAAATAAAACTCTCTGTCAAACACCTCCTTCCCGAGTCCAAAGTGACACAGTGATCAACGTCATTCTCCCATCAGTGCTCCAGAAACCTCAGTTAAATCCAGTTTTGACTCTCGTGCTTCAAGTCAAAGTAATTAAACGGCGAAATTTCTGTTCTGACACGATTGACTGTTCTGAGAAAATGTAAATAGGCACAGTATTACTACCTTTATTAATTGCTTCATGTCTTTGGTTACGAAGGGAAGACTGCAGCATCTGCAATGGAAATGTCAACATAGTTGCTTCTTAATATGCAGCATTCTCGTAGGCTACAAAGCTCAGGAAATCAGATGAACTTGCACAAAGGTAGTGCACAAAGATATATTCTTAAAAACATGGAGAAATTGAGAGAAGGAAAATCAATGGGACAAAATCTCTGTGGATCTTCCTTGTTCTATTGTTTCTCTTCGCAAGTTATTTGTTGCCTGCGCAACCAGGCAAACCCAGTAGGTTAGCTTAGCTGAGGGTATTGAAGCAGAAAAGCCACTTTGAGAAAAATACTTTGATTTTTTTTCCTTTATTTATTTTTCCCCTGTAGCGTGATGTGATATTATTTTGTAGTGTCTGCTTGAAACAGTATTCGAAGTCTGCTTGCCTCTGAAGTGTGCATAGTTTGGGTCTCCCATGTTCAAAAAGGACAAACTCGAAGTAGAATTTAAAACAAGGAAAAGGTGAGCGAATCTTGTAGGGGGGAAAACCAAATGAAAATGAAAACCAAATGAAAAGAACACAAAATCCAAGAGGATGGTAAAAAAAGGAAAAGGTTGCAATCTGCATGTCAAAGGGATAAAATTCCAAGAAGCGTGTGGAGAGATCTGAACTACAGGGCAGTTGAAGCCAGAAAGAATGAGGTATTTATGGTTTAGGGTACATTAAACCTGAGGATTAGAGAAAGATTTCTAACCACTATTTCAGGAGAGTTATGGAACATCTTTCCAGTCAACATACTCAAATGCAAAAATATTCCCTCCCACTTTCTGAAAAGTTTCTGAAAGCAGTTAATAGTGGAAACACTGGGGAATTGGGAAAGGTCTGATGTACTGCTGAAGTCAAATTGTTCACAAGGATCACTTAACCACAGGTTTAAAAGCAGTGTTTTGTTTGTTAACATTTTACTAATAACTTCGGTAGCAATAAGGCCAGTTACTCAGATCTTACGTAGCCTTTCAGTACTGAGAGAGGGGGAAAAAAAAAAGGAGGGATCTTGTGCTCTGACAGTCAGTGTTAAATGTTCTGTCTGTGAAATGGAAAAGAAACGGGGCCAAGAGTGTACTGGCTCTTTGGAATTTGGCTAAAGACACAGTCTGTCATGGAGTATTTTATAAGCATCGTGATAAATTACAATTTAGATATGTGGATCTTGAGAAATGAGGTTTTTCCATATCCATCTGAGCTCAGGTTTAGATCGACGGTAGATACAGTTGTGATTTTGAACTGCCTTAGGCTGTATGGATCAGATTTGAGGCTGTTTGTTCCAATAGCACACAACTGTTTTGTTTTCCCCCCCTAAAGGAGAAAGTGTTTGTACACATGGGGTACACGGTGCTTGAACCCTTAAGATCAGTAGCTTTTGCATGAGCACATTCCTTATTGTTTTTCAATAAGTTGGTTTTGTATGTGCTACCAACAGGAAGTTTCAAGGAGGGAATAATAAAAGGCAAATCTTGCCTCTACGAGTTTGTTATTCATCTGCTGTAAGTTTTCTTTGAACCTGCACATCTGTTTATGTCAGGGTCTGAATTCTTGTAAAAATTGTTGTGGCACTGTCCAAGAAACTGGAAACATAACTTCATATAATTGTTCTTTTAAGTAGCAGCATGAAGTAATTAACATGGCGTACTTTAATTGGTGGCATCCTATTGACTTATTATGAAAGACTTGAATTAAAATAAAGGCAAGGAACACAAGTTGGTTAGTTCCTCTAACCCGGTGCTGTCATCTCTGGGGGAGAGAAAAAGCAGCTCTGTTTAATGGCAGATCCAGCATGTAATAAGTGTTCTACTTCTTTTTTTTAATCGAATATCATTTTGGGAAGGATTTTTGACAAGAAAATTACAGGATTGGTGCCCACTCTAAGATTTATGTTGATAATTGAAGCTTCTTCTTCTCAATAAAACGAAAATGCAGCTTAAATAACTAGCTAAAAGAAAAGAAAGATCTTTAAAAAAAAAAAAAGGGGGTATATAGATATGTAGAAAGATTATAACTTGGTTGTCAAGGCCATTATACCCTTCAGGCAGTTGTCAGTAAATCTGTATTTAATGCTGACTAGGTGCCAGTCAACTAATCATACAACTTTTGTCCCTTTCGACTTTAAGCAGTTTCATGTAATTTGCCAGAGAAATGTTACTTTATAAAATGCTAGGATTAAAAAAAAAAAAAAATATATATATAAAAAAATAAATGTACCTTTCTGTTATTTATCTCCTCCAATGTTTGCCAGCAAAGATAAAATGTATATGAGCATTCCTGGACGATCCTGAAGGAATTTCCACACACACCCCCCCTTTAGAGTTTTGAGTCTCAGTTTCCAACAAAGTTGAGAGGTCAGTCTTTATACTTTCAGTCTGTACAGTGCTTGAAGTTAGTGTAAAGCCACTCAAATGTCAGTGTGGAAAACGTGCATACAATACATCTGAAAATGATATTTCATTTATTTGTGGCCTGGGCCAGGCTGACAGAAACAATAGGAGGTTTGTACTGTGCTGTGTACTGGTTGGCCAGCATTGCCTCTGAAAATGCGAACACCATACATACTAGCATATGTGAAAACTTCCCTTTTTTTAAAAAACAATTATTAACTACCTTTAAACATCTTTACATTGAAATTGCCCTTTTATGTTTCCAGAGTGACTTAGAGGGATTGATTTTTAGCTCTGTAATCCTTTCTTTCTATGCTTTTCCTTGTAAGGGTACGTAGGAAGTGAGTAAAAATATAAACAAAATAAGCTTTTTGATCCCTGTCTAGGCATTTTTACCTTGGGAAGAGATCTCAAATTGGTCAGCCCGGTTGTGAGGGCAGAAATATTGAAAGAGGGGCTTTTCACAAAAGCTGTGCGAGAGTTCAGGATGAGTAGACACAAGTGCAGTTTGCAGTGGCTGTGATGTGTTCTCAGGGCACATGGAAGTGGATCAGGGGCTTCTTTAGCTGCTGCAACAGAACATTTCTGCTTTGCAGCATTTTCTTTTCTACTTTCACTGGGTTCAGGATCTTCCTGACTTCTGTTACATCTATCCATATCTTGGCTTGCACGTCTCAGGCATGTCGGAGGTAAAAGGAAATGTAAAATGCAATTACTTGTTTGCTTTAGGTACCAAATAAATATTGCAATACAGTCGGTATTACATATGTTCTCTACAGATTAGGTTTATTGCTGTTTGAGTTAGTTATACATGAACATTATTGATCGTTACATATAAACTATCTTCTTTTCCTGCATACAAAACACCAACATATTTGAATGTAGTCAAGCCAATGCTACCTGAGATCTGTAAGTGGGTGCTTACTGCTAGCTGATTAGGGTAGCATTTAATTTGCATTGATTCAGGTGAAGAAAGTGGGAAATAAAATCAAATTTATGTGTTTGAGAATATTTTCATTTTATATATATAGAAACGTGTATATATATATATTACATGCACATATTTAGCATAAATTGAAAACAGAAGTCCCTGGGACTCTCCCTGCTTCCATATCAATTTATGGTCTATTAACCTGCAAAGAATAGATCTTGCATTTCTTTTTGGTGCTTCACAGCTGTTCAAACCTCGAGTTATTAATGTTAATAAAGAATCTTGGCATCCGAGATTTTAATAATCAGGATTTAGTGACCCAAGAGACCAAATTGTATCCATGGCAAAGTTGTGCTTCAAGAAAGAGAGAAATAAGGAAAACAGTAATTTGAATTTGAGTTTAACAGTTCAAAACTGAAATTTTGATACCCCTTTATTCCTAATTTAGAATTCTTGGGCACCGAGTTGCTTGTCGTATTTTTCTGGCCAGACAATTATAGAGGTTTTTTTCATGCCAGTTTTTATCAGCTTGCCTTTTGAATTAGTTTAAAATTGAATGCTTTTCTAGAAAAGTATCTTGTTTGCTTGTAACTTTTCTTTTATCCTGGATGCTCTTGTCTCACACTGGATCAGTTTTCTAGCTTGGAGACAATAACATTTTTATAATATAAAATATTTCTCTGATTTACCCTGAGGCGTCAGCAGCGCTCAGACACTCGGTGCATTTGTACCCCTTGTGGTGCTGCCTAACAAGGGACTAAAAAGAGACAATAGTACAAGCAAAGTAAAGCAACTGTGTGGGTGCTGGGAATGGCAGGAGTTGCTCTGCAGACATGGCATGAATTAATGGACTTCCCAAAAGGTTGAATGAGGTTGACTGTGACTTCGGGTTATGGATCAGCACAGTAGTAGGGTTGCTGGTTGAGGTGGTCTGATGTCTGTAGAGTATCTGTAGGACTAGTTTGTCTGTTATTCTAGATATGCACGTGCAGGGATGTGTGAGTCTGTATAGGTGAATAAATAAATAAAAAAATTGATATGATTTAGGAATGTGGCAGTTTGCTTCACTAATACAGGTCCCCTGTTGAAAAATGCTTTTGAACGTGCTCACCTGGGAGAACCTCACACACGATGAAGTGCGTTAAGATTTTCTCTTGTTCACTTCAGGATGTTAACAGCTGTCCTTAGTAAATGCTGCTCTATAAGGCAATAGTTTAGTAGCTGTTTTGCAAAAGTACCCTGACTGTACTGGCAACAGCTTCCCAAGAAAACTCTGCAATTTTGTTTTTCTTTTTGTCTCGCAGGTTCCCGCCTTCGACAAGAGGATTTCCCCCCTCGGATTGTCGAACACCCGTCCGATCTCATCGTTTCCAAGGGAGAGCCGGCGACTCTAAACTGCAAAGCAGAGGGCAGGCCGACCCCCACCATCGAGTGGTACAAGGGAGGGGAGCGAGTGGAGACGGACAAGGATGACCCGCGCTCGCACCGCATGCTGCTGCCCAGCGGCTCCTTGTTCTTCCTGCGCATCGTCCACGGGCGCAAGAGCCGGCCGGATGAAGGGGTCTATGTGTGTGTGGCAAGGAATTACCTTGGGGAAGCTGTAAGCCATAATGCATCGCTGGAGGTGGCAAGTAAGTACTTTTTTTTTTTTTTTTTTCCTCATTTTTTTTTTTCCCTGCTCTTTGGTAACAGCCGCCTGCTTTGATGTTACGTGGAGATAAAAATTAAGTGTGAGCTGCCTCTGAGGCAGCGACTTAAAAGCTAGTGAAGGAATTACACGGTTAATTATTATTTATACAGAGGTAGGAGAGTGGAAAAAGAGTCAGAAGATGTATCATGGCACTGGAGAAATTCAGACTTTTTGTGTGTTCTCTGCTTCCGTGCAGTTATGATTGCTTAATGTTTCTTACATTTTGTGTACTTAATTTCCATTTATAGATTGTTTTTTCCCCTCCAGAGAACCATGCAAACTGTAATGTGTAATAGAAGGTAGGATTTTATCTAAAAGAGTACGTTTGGAATTTTTCTTCCACAAATAAACGCTAGGAAGAAGAATGGCAGATTTAGAAACACAAAATGAAATTTTTTTTTTTTCTCTGAAAGAAGTGGCCCACAAATTCTCTCTCTAGTTTTAAGTATTTGGCCAGCGGAAGGTGCAGTCAAGTATCTTCACATCACTTTGTAATGCTTATCTCTTCCTGTATACCCTTTAAACTCCTTTTTTTTTTTAGAGGAAGAGAGTGTGCATTAAAGTGTTTTAGGCATTCAAATGGAGGGCCAAGTGTAGGTCAGAAAATATCCGTTTTGGGGTGCTAAAGTGTGACAGGAAGCCTCTCAATTCAAAGTTAGGTGTCTCTTTTTAAGTTGCTTTGATAGGCCTCTTTTGTGACGTGGAGCAGTTCACCTGGTGTCACGTTGAAGAGCCAGCACAGACCTGGGTGAGTCACCCTCTGGAAAAGCTGCTCTCTGCTGACTAAATGAGTCATGTTGCTATCTAGCTCTGATGAGCCTCCTATCTTTTAGATAAGTTAAACACCACTGTCTGTGTATAACTTTAGAAGAAGGGCTAGATTTTCATAATTGTCACACAAGGCAAAGGAAATGAGCTATGAATTTGTGAATTTACTTGAGCCCTTTTCCCGGTGTTGCTCACATTCAAGACAAACCCCAAGGACTTTGATAATTATACCACAAGGATCTCAAGCTTCACCTGTAGCAGGGTAGATACATATGATTAAGATCTGTGACCATGTTGTTTCCTTGTTAACCACTTCTAGTGATAAAAGTAATCAGTGTCTGGGTAGCTGGAAGTGTGCTTATCCAGTAAATGTATAACCTGTTTAAATCACATGCTGATTGGTTACTTCCAAACATTATATCTGGTATCTTGGAGGTGCAATTTAAAGTGGGCATTAATGTTTGGGAGATTCTGATATTTATCTAATGCTGTTGTTTTGCTTATCACGCTTATTGTTGATTCTTTAAATGAGTTTTAGTGCCCTGTGCTTATTTCATGGTCTTTAGGTTTGGGATGTACCTTGAGGTAGTGTTTGAAATGCATGCAGTGTTTCTGTGTCTTCCACAACTCTTCATCAGAACCCAGAAACCTGAGGTGGGCTTCACTGGTTGGTGCACTGTGGCATCAGTGAACTGGTGCATGGTTGCTAAACATGTTTGTCACTCCTGTCTCAAGTCATCCTCATTATTATGATTATAACAGAGAGTCTGACAGGGTCTGAATGCAAAATATTACTGTCACCAAAAATTTTATTAAGAGCTTCTGCCAACACTCAAGACCAAAAAAAAAAAAATCTTCTTAAAAGCATTTAAATATGCACCAATTAACAATAATGTAGCACTAAATTGTTAAGCCATCTCAAAATGGATCTCATGAGCTCTTGTATCGAGGGCTAGGGTCAGAAAATAACCATCACCAACAATGCTGTAAGGGCAAGAAAAAAAAATCACGATCTATATTAGGAAATAAAATTTGCAGGTATAATGGTACACAGTTTTAATTGTATACCAGGAGATCAGAGAGACAAAGAATTTTAACAGTAAAGGTTATTGTTTTGGTAGAAGAGGTAGTGATGTGACAGTGCAAAAGCACCAAACCACTTTAAATAGCACAGAAGAGGTGAGGAACAAGGAAAGAGTTGAAGGCTGGTGGAATAAATTTGCATTAAATTAAAAAGCTCTGCACTGTGGCTGTAACGCTCCCTTCATTATGAACTGTAGCTGCACTCACAGTGGATTGCTGCAAATCAGCAAACTGTTTTGATTAACTTCTCAGCACACCTGTGCTGAGCAGCACAGCATTTACATTTGTATACATGTACTCCTCCACAACTGCTGTTTTAGAAACCCTTATGTTATAGTTTAATCTTTGTGTGTTTACAGAGGAAAACTGCCTTTATTTGGTTTCTATTTTCTGTGAAGTACAGAAGATCATTTAGAGTACTCGTTATATGCTTTGATGCTGCAATTTTAACCAAATCCCTTTTGTGAAACAGGAAACAGCAGCATGTTTTGCACTGTACCTGTTCACTCTCTCTGGAGGACGCAGCTCCTGACTGCACCAGTTTGTTTCATATCATGATAGGGAATTTATCACTTCTCTTCCATCACCTCATTTAGTAACATCTTGGATTAGATGAAATCGTTTCGCTGTTCAGTGGGTGTCGTAGATTGACTTCAGGTTCACATTAATACTAAAAGTAAATTTTCAGGTCTGTTAGTCCTTCATGCAGTTCGTTTTTATTTTTTTTTTTTTTAAGAGTTCAGTGCTCATCTTTGAGGTAGTCCACAAAGAGAATTTGTTACTCATGTGGTAAGGTGGACATCTTCCTTAAGTACCCTGTGCATAGATTCCACGGTTGCAAAGGAGGAAAATGTAGTGGGATTTCAAAAGTATGTTGTATTAGAAGCTGTTTTATCTTTTTTAATGCCTGTGTATTTTAAAGGACTCTTAAAACAGCTTTAGATTTGATTGCCACAAGAGGGGAGAGACTAAAATCATAAATCATAGAATTGCAGGTAGTTTTCCCTCTGCTTTGTCACTTTCTAGTCCTTGACATCTCTTTGGTGACTTGAATGACATTTGCATGTCATTTAGTCCAAAGGATGCTGCTTTTTCTCCCATTAATGTATATTTCAGTAATGATAATGTTAGTCCTTAGTTAATACCTTTGAACACGACCTAAATACAATTTATTATCAGCAAATTGCATTAAGTAAGTCTCTTATTCCATCTTTGCCTTTTATATTCCTTCCAAAATGTTTGAAGATGCCATGTGTCTGCTCACAGCACTGGGGATTTGTTACATCTTTTCCATAATGTTGTTTTATTTGATATAAAAATATTTGTCCAGCTGTATTTCCTTAAGTTTCTGGGGTTATTTCTTTGAAACCATCCCCCATCCCCAGAAAACCCCTAAAACCAAGATGATCCTTTGGCTGGTGAAGAGTGGTATCTTAAATCTACAAAACATATACTTGAACCCCCACTGACGATGTTCTGTTTGATTATGTTTCAGGGACTGTAACTTTCCCTAATCAAATAACTAGCCACTTGATATTTCAGGAATTAAAATGTTTCAGACACTTCAGAGACTGGTAAAACTATTCTCTGTTACACAGCCCCGTGCAAAGAAGCTTTGTAATTTAAAGTTACATGATGTTTTCTCTGTAATTTAGGTCTGTAGGATCTTCATGAAAGGAAGGAGATAAATTTGCATAAGCAGGAACTCACCACAAAGGTGAATTACAAGTCAGTGAAATGAGAGATGTAACTCCTGTTTAATTGGGGGGGGGGGGGTATTGTTGTTGTTGTTGTTGCCTGATTTCTTCTGTACTTGAAATCCCATTACCACTAAATTTTTGGAATGGGAACTCTGTGTACTTGTTCCAAGTTAGTTTGCAGAAGAATGAGGTTTCAGCAGTGCAGCCCAGAAGGGCTGTGTGGTGGGATAATCAGATAACAGGCTGTAGTCCTCCTCCAGACTGAGGCTGCCACAAGTCCATTTCCCTCCCTCTCCCTGACTTCCTGAACTCAGCCTTTTGATCGCTGGAGACCTGCTTAAATCAGCTCCACGTTTTGTTTCTGAGGAATGTAGCTGGGTTTGGATTACTGCCTACCGGTGACACGTTCCCCGGTGCTGAGAGGTCCTGAACAACGCGAAAAGGGCACGTCCTTGTCAAAATGAAACTGGGTAATTCTCTCTATAAATGTCAGCTTTTACAGGTGGGAGAAGAAAGTGGAACCATACTTTATCCTCGGAGTAAGGGCTGCAGACTGTTTTGGCTATCACATAAACGTTTGGAAAACAAAGTCATTTTTCTGAGTAGGGCAGTAGAAGCGGTTTTGAAGAAGTGCATTAGCAGACTGGAAGGTGGCTGCAGCTGCTTCTGGTGTTTGGATCTCTCAGGCTTGTCTGGTGAATGGATGCACCCAGTTAAGAACGAATTTAATTACTAATGTGTGATAGTTTGATTCAAATGCTTTTTTTATTTTTTTTTTAATTTTTTTTTTCTTCTCTCAGTTACTCCTTTTTGAGGAAAATTGTATCTCTGGATCTTGTGGGTGTCTGTTATGTAGCAGTTTGTAGGAGCTTGTTCGTGTCAACAGCAGCAACAATAGCTGCAGGGGTATATTCATCTTCCTTTCTCTACTCTAAAATATTTTCAGGACATTAAGAAAAAGTCAAATACAAATGAAGTTGGTTGTGTTTGCTAGGCAGTGACTTCGCAAATCTTTATTTCAAATAATATTTTTCTCAGCCAAACTTATTTCTCTTTTGCTGCCAAAGCTCCAGGGTAACTTTTGATAGGAGTGCTGTTGCTAATACATCTTCAAACCTACTGTTTATCAGTGGTAGGTTTACCTTGAACCCGACTCTTTCAACGCTTGTTGCAGCTGCATAGCAAGTCTGGATTAATAGAAACTGCCTCTGAAGCATATTTTACCAAAAATGTAACATCATTTAGGAAAAATTTCCTTGCAATTAGGTCAAAGTTACATGCAAGTATGCTCTTTTTTATAATGTAGGCATCTTTCTGCTTAAGGAAAAACAAGAACAACTGTTTTAGCTGCTTGATAAGTTTGTGTATTTTGCCTGCTCAGCCATTACAG